CATTAAACAGAGGTGGAGGCCTTCGTGTCCAGTTGTCCTCCTCCTACAACGCTGTTATTTCAAGTATGACTCCGCCCCCTGTGAGCAAAAGGTGTGAATCAGGGCCCCAATGATACCCAATACAAAGGAGGAAAAAACAAAAACAAGGGGACTTTGAGCCCCGCCTGCATTCACTACATACACATAACATGACACCTAAGAACCACAGCATCCAAACCAATAAGTCAGGTGATGGGTCACATGACCCTCTATGAACAATAGAGCTAATCAAGCCTATTGTTAGTCGATGGCCCTCTTTTGCATGTGACTAACCTGTTTGTCCACCATGTGGAGGCGGAGCTTATAAGGCTGAGTTCACCTGAAACTCTTCAGACTGAAGAAGTCTCTTGGAGGAGAGACGAAACGTTTCACTAAAGAAGAACCATCCAGAGGACCTACTGATTTTTTCTTTTTGAAGAGCTGTAGAGTTCATCAGTTCAGCCTTGGTTCCCCTCGGACACCAGTTCACTGATGTGAGTGGTAGAGGGGATTGTGGGAGCCAGAGCATCTGTTCACAAAAACATTCAGAAGAATTTGAAATATCCAGCCTTCAAGGCCAACATGTGAGAGCCAAATTTAGTTAAACACAATTGTTTTTGTTAGAAATCGAAACTGTTGATTTGTCAACCATCAAAGTCTTCATTGGAAACTCTCAATGACGTATTTCAATCATCCGAATTTGTTGGTTGTTCTCGCCTCGCCGGCTGGACGACTTCTCTATTCATTCCTGCCAGTGAGCTCAGGAACGATCACTGGCCTGCAAGAGAATCACCTCCAGCTTGCAATTCTGCTCCAAAAGCACCTGAGTCTGAGTGTTGAAAGCTCAACATATTTCATCACACAGGCTGGGTAGCCTCATCAAGGCCCGAACAGCTGCCGACACTTTCCAAATTCCATCTTTGATGTCCTCGACCGACAACACATACTGGCACATTACTGTTGTGGAAATCTTTATTTTACCAAGGCAGAAACACTTACTCACACTTCCACTTACTCCAGGAATCCATAACATGCCCAGCGGCAWATGTCCCATCAGGACAACAGGGCTCCCCTTTGCCCAATCTTCTCATGGAGAAAATTTGATCAATAGCATTGAGAGACCAYCTGACCAGATCCATAATTTCCAATTTAGAAGAAATGCAGGAAAGGCTCCGAAAGCAGCAAAGCAGGGTAAATAAGGGACGGTTGAAGAGAGGTAACGGTTCTTCGAGAGCTGAAAAGAAYAAGCATAAGCATTTTTAAGTATCTGTCCATGAACAGTATTTCTTTTGTACCTTGACACCATCATTGGTCAGCAAAACAGAAAACACAATAGCTGCTTTGTCACAACATGTGTTTTATTGTTATGCTTCCATATTTTGCTTTTGTACAACAAAATATGTAAAATGGATATTTTCTAACTATTATTTTGTCTGCTGATATCGTCTGATAGGTGTTCTACAAGGACGACCTGAACTGGATGAAGGGTATTGGCTGCTACGTTTGGGATACACCAGAGATTCTTCGTGCCAAGAAGTCCTACGAGCTGCAAAGTGAAGTGAGTAGAAAAGTTGAATTCAACAACATAAGTTTCATTCAAACTTAAATTAAAAACTCATTTACTCACTCTGTCTGTTGCATCCCTAACAGCGTAAATACAGAGAGAACGCCAAGAAGGAATTCCACAATTACTCGATTGTGACGGACACCCCTGAGTATGTGACTGCTGTCCTGGGCCACACCTGGGCCAGTGACGTAAGTGAGCTGCTTCAGAAAATAAATAATGTTTATGAAACYCTTCATTTACATGTGGTTTTAATTCTGAATTCACAGCTGAACTACAGGGAGGCGTATCACAAGGAGAAGCATTTATATACCACTGTTCTGGACACAGCTGATTACGCCAGATGCCACAACTTTAAATTAATCTTCAGTAATGTAAGCAAAACAAAATATACAGTTTTTTTTTCTTTGTCTATAGACAACATAAAAACATTGCTATAAGGCGATAATGTAATTATTCTGTCCTCAGAAAAACTACACAGCTGTTTGGGATAAAATCAAAGCAAAAAGCTACCAGATTCCAGCTGACTCTAATGCTCTGCAACATGCCAAACAACAGAAGGTCATTCTGAGCAACGTGAGTTCAAGGTTCACTTTTCTGATGTTAATGAATGATGGTGGTGAGTTTCACTGTTGACCTGTAAGAAGTTATCTATAGACATTTTTGCCCCCCTTAGGTCAAGTACAAGATGGATTATGAAAAGTTCAAATCTCTTTACACTCTGCCCAAGTCACTTCAAGACGACCCTGCCACTGCCCGCTGTGTCAAATCTGGAAAGCTGATCCTGGACGTAAGTAAATTAAATACAAGTTCCTTGTGTAGGGTTCCTGCACATTTCTGAAAAGTATGGAATTTAGTTTATCATGAAACAAAAAATAAAATAAAATAAAATAAAAAAAATAGAATATGGACTATCATTTGTGCTTTTATTCTTGCATTTTTAAAATACCAACATTTCTAGAAATTGCTCAAACAAGCAAAGTATTGCTTTATAATACTGAAGGAATAATTGGGGTCTATGTAGTGCACTGATTATAATTACATCACACGTATACTGGTAGTTTGTTTTATGATAGAAGTGTAATGACTGATAAATGTGATTTATAATTAACTAGATGATTCTATTTTTAGTAACTACATGCCGGGTAACATATATAACACATAGGTGTACTTTTAAACTCATCAGGATAGGTTTATATTTGTTTGTGGGCATGGCTCTGACCAAAATGATTGGGACCCCCTCCCGGCTGATGATGTAATTAATATAGGCGGAGTCATGCTGATGATAAAACTCTTGGGATTTCCTGGTTCGGCCTGATTTCCTGGTCTGCGTTAAACAGGTTTTCAGCGTGAGCTCTCTGGTTTTCTGTATGGTTTACTCTCACACTCACATTAWATTTGRACATTCTCATATGATTTCACACACATCCTGGAAACGAACGCGCAATAACGTGTATTTCTTTCATTACAGTTTATTAAACTTGAGCATTATTTATAACGTTAAGTTTAATGTTTGACCTGCAGTATTTATGTTGCGTTTGAGGAACTGACAGAGAATCTTTGGTGCATCAGTTTTGAGTCCTGGCCAATAAGTAACATATCTCAACACACTACCAACAATAGGATAAATTAAAAACACAAAACCCATAGGACACAGTGTGATACAGCCCTTAAAGGGATTAATTATTCAGTTGATTCAACACAAAAAAATAAAATAAAATAAAATAAAATAAATCAGTGCATAATAACACAAAGAAAATATTCATTTTTGTTTATTAAAACTAACTCATTTCCAGGTCCTTTTTTTGTAACCATGGATGACTAAATATATTATTATTGCCCCCCATTGCCGAGGCGGGGCACTTACTGTCTTACTGTCTTACTGAAATACTGTCCGTCCGTCCTTCTGTTACAATTTCAGAAAGCTGTAAATTTCACATAAACTGCAAAAACTGTCCACTTAACCAAGTTTTAAAACCTTATATCAGCCAAAAACTGTAAAAACTGTCCATCTAACCAAGTTTTAAACATTATATCAGCCAAAAAGTCTTTTTGATCTTGTTTTCAGACTGATTTACTAAACAAGAACTGATTGTGTAAGAATAATCATCTTGTTTTCAGAATGTGTAAGATTATTTGTCTTGTTA